ACCCATCATTTGGAAAATCCCACACAGAAGGTGGCCAGTGCCAACTCCTTTCTCTGGATCTCAGCTCATTTGCTCCGGTTGTTATGCATGGTTTATTTATTAGATTTATATACCCCTTTTTTGATTTCTTGGATCCACTGGCCTCTCTAAATCCTTGGAGACAAAAAAAAAAAAATAAAATCCAGGAGTTTCCCTCAGTGCCATGCCGAACTTTGCCAGCGCAAGCACATAATCCAGGAAGGGAAAAACGCCGGCCGGGCGGGATGCCTCCCTGTGGCCCAGAATCCACAAACCGGGGGAAGGACTGTGGAAAGGTGCTTTGGCCAGCCATTGTTCGCAACTTGGCCTGCGTCCAAGTGCTTTTCCTCAGCCCCTTCCCAAACAATGGCGGATCCAGTCTGTGCGTTTCTCTCCCAAACCTGGGGACCCACCGGTCATCTTGCGGCGCATGTCCGGGCACCGAAATGCTTCATTCTGAGAAGGCAGATGCTGCAGAAATTCCCACTCTGGCCTGCTGTGTGTGACCCAGAAACTCCACGGACAACAGCATCCCGTTTTAAAAAGCGAGACACTCAAGACGCCCCCCACGACTGTGAGTGTGGGGGACAGGAATAATTTTGGAAGCCCGAGGTGGTCCGGACTCGCAGTTCTCTGCCCAGCCCTGACTTGGCAAGCAAATGGTATTTTTACATGCCAATTTGGCCGTTTTTATCACAATGACTGTTGGCCCTTTATTCACGCACACCCCCTGGGGTGTTGCCCAAATATACGGCAGATCAGGGCGGGAGTTTCTGAAAGAAAAGAACGCAAACTTGAAAAAGGAAAAAGGCAAGAAAGGCGGCTATAAAAACGGGCAGGGTTCAAAGGACAACAGCGGAAGGAAAGCGAGCCTTAAAAACCGTGAGGGAACAATGTACTCAAGACAAGGGGCAAGATGGTAATAGTTATGCGCAGGCCTCGCTTTTTGAAGGTTGTTTCCTCACCAGCCACCCACATAGGATGCGGAAAAGCGGCCCCTCCGTTAAAAGAAAGTCCTTCGGTTTTTCCTGCTGGGCCTCTTCCCTTCCCAGATTTCCCTTAATCATTTGGTCCCATTCAAACACGCACGGGGGGGGGGGGCTGTATTCACACACACCGAATTCAGCCCTTGTGGTCTCCCAAGAAAGCATCTTTTAAAAAGAAAAGGCTAAGTTTCTAGGCCTCAGGTTGTTTGCAAAGGCATGCTGGAAAGGGGGGGGGTTGGGGTAGAAATTCCACAAATCTGCTGCAGGAGCGATTACGGCCGGAGTTCACCATCGTCTGCCCCGACTTGCAGCCGCCGTATGGGGCTTCGCAAGGGGTTCCCCTTGGCCCCCCCGTATGAGAAGAGCAGCTGTTCAGAGTGGAAACTTGGGCTTCGGCTGGGCTCCACTCATCGCTGAAGCACCGAAAGGGGGTCCCCTGGTTCTGGCCAGGGCTGGCCGAGGAGCCCTGCGTATCTCTGGGGATGACGGAGTCCCCTCCTGCGCATCCCGAGGACCCCCTCTCTGGTGGGTCGTCGAGCATCCAGTCCCCTGCCCTTCCCACTGCCTCCGTGTGGCTCGGCCAGCCGGGATTTCGGGGTCTCTGAACCCCTTCCTGTTCCGCCGCCGCCACCTCCGAGGGGCGGAGACGGCCTGGGCCAAATCCGACAGCGAGCGCAGGGAGCAGAGCGGGCGCCGCGGGATGGGCCTTCATGCGAGGACAGGCCCCGGCGCCTCCCAGCCCCGGCTGCCTGCCGGCGGAGGTGTGGGGCCCGCGGGCGGCCGTGGGGCAGGGCCGAGCGGGGCCGGGCAGGTGCGGCAGCCGCCGAGCAAGTCCTGGGTGGCTCACACCCCGGGGGTGGCTCGGTGCCAGCGCCGCTCACACCCCGGGGGGCCTGCCAGCAGCCACCTTCGAGGACGGCCTCGGAAGCAGATGCCCAGGGGCCGCCGAGCACGAGGCGTGCTGGGCAGCCAGGCAGCGGGAAGCCGGGAGGAGCAGCTCGCCCTAAACGTGAGGAGCAGACTGGGGGGGGGGGTCCCCTAACTCCCCTGCAGGATTCCAGGGGTCCTTTCCTGACAGGACTGCACTTCCGGCAGAAAAGCTGTGGGGAGGAAGCCGCGGGCTCTGTACTTCCCCGCAGGGCCAGGCACGGGAGGGGGACACCCAGCCAGCCCCGAACCAACCAGCAGCCGCACAGCACTCCAAACGCCACAGGATGTCCAGCTCTGGCAGATGGAACAGCCTCGCCCTGAATTTCCTTCCTTTCCCGGCCTGAACGCAGCTCCTCGCTTTCAGGCGTGACGGGCTCGATTTCGATTGTGGCACATGGAAAGCATGGCCGGATCCAAGCACAATGCCTGCCACGGAGCAGCCCTCGTCCAGCCGTCCGGATGCCGGTCAAACCCAGTACTCTGCTGCCAACAGGGGACAGCCTGGGGAAGTTAAGAAGTGCTCCCATGATCTCTGCCGTTTCCAGATCAGGGAGAGCAAAGCTTGTTCTACCTTTGAACAAGCAAATCGAAGCTGCTTTGGAAAAGGAGGCTGTGCGATTTTAAGGCATGTGGGGGAACAGGAACCCAAGCATGGCAGCACAGCACGAAAACATGTATACATTTTATCCGGGGATTTTTGAGGTGCAGAATTGAGGGTCCACAGAACTATGCAGAACTATGGACTACATTTGTTCTGGTTCATCCCCCAGGTTTTTCCCCACATCTCTAGGTGCAAAAAGCACAGCACCAAATCCAGGCAACCGTTCCCCTTTGTGGGATCCAGAGCTAGAAAGCCGATCCAGGTGGACGTTTCTTCGGCAAGCTCGGCAGCCCCGCGGGAATGACCCTGCTGGCACCCCCTCCACCCCCCCCAGCTCCTGGGATTCTGCGGGAGCCCTCCGTGGCCCACCCAGGTTCCAGCTCGAGCAGGAAACCCCTCGGGCACGTCAAGGGCACGTCCAGCTCATCCTCCTTTTCGGGACGTGCCAACCGCACGGAGAGAACGGCTCGGTCCGACTCGGTCTGTTCCTGCCGCCCACGGCCTGCCTGCTGATTCCCCAGCCTGGGCAACCCCTCCAACCTCCCGAGGGTGAAACGCCGATCCGAAGGGGGCGATGCTGGCCAAAAGAGCTCCCGGCCAAACTAGGCCGAGCGCCTTCCACCAGGCCAGCCCCCCCTCGAGAATGCAGCTCCAGAGAGCGCCGTTGAAGGGGAATTCGGTCCTCGGGGCGGGAAAGGTTCGGCACCTGCCCACAGCCACTGGCAGGATGCCTGAGGAGATCTGGCCGGGAGAATCGGGATCAAACCCGGGGATTCTGCGACGAAGCAGGTGGACCCCACCCTGGGGAACGGCCCTACCTGGCTGCAGAGGCCTGGGCCGGGGAACGCAAGGGCCGGCGCCTTCGCTTGTGCTGGATGCCGGGGGCAAGGTGCATCCCAAGGCCCCAGGAGACCCTTCCTGAGCACATGGGCGCTGCTGCCAACCAGAGGGGGACCACGGCACACGGGGGAGCAAAGAGGACGGCTGGCTGGAGCCGGGGGTCAGACTAGATGGCCCAGAAGACCCCGTCTGCTCACTCTGTTTCGACGTTTCTTCTGCAACTGTGAGGGCAGCCCGGAAGGGGCACCGGATCCGGCCCCATGAGGCCTCCTCGTGTTCCAGGGCTCAGCAGGCTAGCTGGCAGCAGCCTTGGGGCCGGGGAATAAACCCCCCCCCCCGGTTCCCAAATCTTGAAGGATGCGCGTGGGCAGATCCGGCACAGATGGCGAGGAAAAGTCGGCTTGGCAGATGTCTGCCGATTTATGCCCACAGGAGCCGTTGGCACGACGGAACGGCTTGTCATGGGGACGGGCATGTACGAACCTTCAGGAAACCCTTCGGCGCCAACGGCATGCCTGGTCCCTCCGGAAGGGAACGGGGGGGGGATGGGGGGTTTACCCCACCCCCTTGCCCCCTGGCAGCTGCACGCCTGAATTACAGAGATGTCTCCCTTTCAGTTTTGAGGGGATTTCACCCCCCCCCACCCACAGCTAAATATAGAAACTGTAGTCCTGCGGTGACCGCTAGACATCACTGCCCCTCAGCCGCAGAGAGCTCCAGGGGAACTCAGAAAGACAACTGATCCTCGACCTGACATTTTGGGGGACGTGGGGGTCCTCTGTCGTACAGCCAATGGGACTTGTAGTCCCAAACTTCCTTCCTGGTAGGGGAAGGGCTGAAACAGTCCAGCTGGGCTTTTAAAAACTTTCACAGCATTGCAGGGCCTTTTCTCACTGGAACGTGTCACAAAGTTAGTTTGTTTCTTGATTTCCATTTTGCCTTGAAAGGCGCTTGCAGGCCGATGGCGGAGGTGCTACAAATATTTTTAGCTTGCACTTGATAAAAAGATCGGATTTTTATAAACAAACTGCAGTTGCTTTCTAAAACAAAAGCAAGAAGATACATATGCGTCTAGTTCTCATCTCTCCTGCCGCATTCATGCTCTGGATACACACACACAGCTTCACGGTCCTGGAGGGGCGACTCTCCGCTCTCCACTCCCGTGCTTTGCCCTTTCCGACAACCTTTCAGCTCCACCGAAATGCAGACAAACACGCATCTGCTTTACCTGTGACCTACGTAACGCGGGATGCAGAAATCCCGGCCCACGGGAGCTCTCACCCCACTCCTCTGGAGTTCCCCGGCGGCCTCGCCTTTCCCCACTCCAGAAATTACCCGCAGTGGTGTGCCATCCTAAAATATTTCAAGGCCTCTCTCAAGACTCGGTTGTCAGAGCGAAAATATGCCGGCATCTTTTACACTCCCGTTGCCTTCGGCCTCGCCCACGCCGAGAGCGTCCCTGAAGCAGGATTTGGCCCCCGGGCTGGGAAAGGTTCCCCAGGAGTGAAAACTGAATCCTCAGAAATTAGGTGCAGGGGGACAGAGAATACAGTGAAGGAGAGCATATGCACACAGATTATGGAGTTTTTGGAGAAACGATTCCCCAACGATTTCCTAAATTCTACCTTTGCATACGGGCCGCTTAAATGGCAAGACCAGGCCGAGCGACCTCACTTGCTTTTCCGAAGAACAGCGACCGATGCCGTCTTTGTTATGCTGCAGGTGTGTGCAGACGGAGCGTGCCGGCCTGCGCAAGCCCTTTGCACCAAAGCAGACACATGCTGGGGCCGGAGACAAGACGCCAGGCCTTTCCCGCAACATCCCCTGCTCCCAAATGGCTCCTTACGCCTTGCCTTTCATGGCTTCCTTCTCCCCTGGCTGCAGAGTGAGAGAAAGCTCTCGCAATGCCAGCCAGAGTATCCTCCAGACACGCCAGATCTTTCTGCAATGTAAAAAACACAGCACACACAGTGTTTCTAGTCCTCATGGTTTTGATTAAGGCTCTCTCTGTTCTTGAGAACCATACTCCCCTCCCTGGAGTAAGTACGCAGTCACTAAGGAGCAGTTCCTGGAGAGCTCCCACCAAACAAGTCCACTCCAACTTCTAGACAGCATCACAGAGTCTCTCTCACAGCCCGCAGGCCCAGATCCAGCCAGAAAACACCACCCTCTGAGGGCACCAAGAGGTCCAGCATTCGCTCCCAACACCGAGACAGTAATGCACACCAAAAGGTAGACTGCAGCTGCATGAGGCAGCTCCATTCAGCAAACACGGCAGCGCTTTCACATGGAGACGGGTTCACGCAGAGACACGGTGGCGCACGGGCCTGGCCAACACTCCGGAGAGTGTCCGAAGGGGGAAATGCGGAAGAAGCACCTGCTGGACTACAGGCTGGGCTTTGGAGGGTGGGGGCTAGCTGCCAGGCCCACCCCCCTTTCGCCTTAGTCCGTCCTAGCTATTATTTTTAGAAAGGGAGGGTAAGAGGTCGGCAACAGGGGCCAGAAGGCTTCAGCAAGGGAATCTCCGCACCGTCAGGCGCAGAAGGATGCCCTGGGTTCAAGAGGGGGTCCTCCACCGTCCTCCGATCGGAACGCCCCTTTCCCTCCGGCTGCCCTGGCGCCCGGGCCAACAACGCCCATCTGCCCTTGGGAGCAGAACTAGTGATAAGGGATCATGGGAGTTGTAGGCCAGAACACCTGCCGTAAGCTGTCCCGGCTGGAAGTGCCCGACTCCGGCAGCCTGCGAAGACGGGGCAGGTAGGCCTCGGAGCACACCTGGCAAGAGGGAGTGGAGAACCTCTCCCACGCACACCTTGCCCGGCTGCTGGGAGGTGGGGAGGGTGGGCAAGGCGCCCTGGACTGACCTGCAGCCGCCGGGGGGCTGGGGGGGG